TGGCCAGGGCTTCCTTCAGCCGGGGCGCTCGCCACTTGGCCCCTTCCGCCGCACCGCCTGCCGGGACGGCTCCACGCCGCTCCCGCCTGCAGGTGAATTGAAGGTCGGTGGGGAGGAAAGGATGCGGGCTGCTGGGATTGCTGCAGACCTGGCACTGGGTGGGGTAGATAGAGCACGCAGCCCGCTCCCAGCAGGGCACTCCCCTCCTCCGTGCTGTCGCCCCCTACAGGGCGGCCAGAGTGGCGAACCAAAAAAAAAAAAGGAAAAAAAGGGCGGCCGTGCCACCGTAGGACTGGACGGAATGTTGCCCCTTAGAATCTGCCACCCCAAGCACAAGCTTGCTTGGCTGGTGCCTGGAGCTGGCCCTGCCTTCTCATAAACAAACTAGGGAAATGCAACCTAGATGGAGCTACCATAAGGTGGGTGCAAAACTGGTTGAAAAACCGTTCCCAGAGAGTAGTTGTCCGTGGTTCACAGACATGCTGGAAGGACATAACGAGTGTGGTCCCGCAGGGATCAATTCTGGGTCCGGTTCTCTTCAATATCTTCATCAGTGATTTAGATAATGACATATAGAGTTTGGGGACGATACCAAGCTGGGAGGGGTTGGAAGTGCTTTGGAGGATAGGATTAAAATTCAAAATGATCTGGACAAACTGGAGATATGGTCTGAAGTAAATAGGATGAAATTCAATAAGGAGAAATACAAAATACTCCACTAAGGAAGGAATAATCAGTTGCACACATACAAAATGGGCAATGACTGCCTAGGAAGGAGTACTGTGGAAAGGGATTGGGCGTCATAGTGGACCACAAGCTAAATATGAGTCAACAGTGTAACACTGTTGCAAAAAAAGGGAACATCATTCTGGGATGTATTAGCAGGAGCGTCGTAAGCAAGACACGAGAAGTAATTCTTCCACTCGACTCTGTGCTGATTAGGTATCAACTCGAGTATTGTGTCCAGTTGTGCGCACCACATTTCAGGAAAGATGTGGGCAAACTGGAGAGAGTCCAGAGAAGAGCAACAAATTGATTAAAGATCTAGAAAACATGATTTATGAGGGAAGATTGAAAAAATTTGGTTTGTTTAATCTGGAAAAGAGAAGACTGAGAGAGGACATGATAATAGTTTTCAAGAACGTAAAAGGTTGTTACAAGGAGGAGGGAGAAAAATTTTTCTTCTTAACCTCCAAGGATAGGACAAGAAGCAATGGGCTTAAATTGCAGCAAAGGAGGTTTAGCTTGGACATTAGGTAAAACTTCCTAACTGTCAGGATGGTTAAGCACTGGAATAAATTGCTCAGGGAGGTTATGGAATCTCTGTTATTGGAGATTTTTAAGAGCAGGTTAGACAAACACCTGCCAGGAATGGTCTAGATAATACTTAGTCCTGCCATGAGTGCAGGGGACGGGACTAGATGACCTCTCAAGGTCCCTTCCAGTCCTACGATTCTATGATAAATCAATTCATCTAGATATTTGCACTAGTTTTACAACGGGCTACATAAAAAGCACTAGCAAAGTCAGTACAAACTAAAAATTCCTACAGTGACTTGTTTATGCTGCTTTATATACTACACACTGAAATGTAAGTACAGTATTTATATTTCAATTGATTTATTTTATAATTATATGTGGTAAAAATTAAAGTAAGCAATTTTTCAGTAGTAGTGTGCTGTGCATTTTTATGGCTCGTTTTGTAAGCAAATAGATTTGAAGTGAGGTGTAATTTAGGGGTGGGTACGCAAGACAAATCAGACTGCTGAAAGGGGTACAGTGATCTGGAAAGGTTGAGAGCCACTGGCCTAGTATACAGGAAGTGTGGCATCTCCACGCTTTCTGGAGGAGTTTTATATAACACTTTATTGAGGAAGGGACTTCAATATGTACTGTTTTAAGATCAAGGTGTTCCATCCCAATCAAGCACAAAAAACCGTACTATTTTCCTGCTGCACAATAAACTGGTGTCCGCACTACCAGGGCACATGCATGCCTTGAAATGTAGGTAATGAGCTTCTTGTCTAATTTTGGATTAATACAAATCCCTATCAGGCACACCTGTTATTTTATTTAAACTACAGAATGGCCAATAACCATCCTGTTAGAACACTGTTCCCATACCAAGCTCGGTGCCTTTTTCATTTACTCAGTTGTCAAAGAAAGACTAAGTTCTTATGGTCAGGAACTTGAATCAAGAAATTTCTTCCTGGGATAAAAACCCTTTCACACACACCTATCAACCCAAGATGCTCTTGTGGTTAAGGTACCTGGAAATCTGCATTAAAATTTTGGCTCTGTTATTGACAGGGCCAGTTCTGGCTTTTTTGCCGCCGCACCGCCTGCCGGGAGGGCTCCACGCCCTTCCTGCCTGCAGCTGAATTGAAGGTCGGTGGGGAGGGAAGGATGCGGGCTGCCGGGCTTGCTGCAGACCTGGCACC